AATCTCTTTACGTCGATAATGGTCTGAATGGTAGAATCTCAGACGAGAAGCTGCTATAGAGATCGCGAAGAACTTTATACACTGATGAGATACACCTAGGCTGCCCAGAACTTCACTATTTGCTCTCTGGTCAATGTCGCAAGCCTTATTAAAGTAAGTACATAGACCTGAGACATGACGGCATTTCATTCTCGCGACATCTCGCTAAGGCTCGTGACCATATGGTATGGTGGTACTGAACCCTCTTCTCGAGCCTGCTTGCTTGCTTGGCTGTCCCTCACCTAGTGTTCTGCCAAATGTACTGAGGATGACTTGAAACAGGCAGATGGCAGGCTTGACTCGTGAAAAAGTGCCCATAACTCATTGTGGTGAAACGATAGGATGATTGGTCATTCTGGAACCATCAACGCTTGGCTTTGGAATAAAAAAAGGGCAAGGCTCTCTCGTCGATTGAACTTTTGTTTAATGTCGGTCATAAAAATGGGAAAGCGGCAGGTCGGTGATTTCATTCTGTAGTTAACGAACGCAGCTAAAGGGTGGATTTTGCACGGAAAAACACAAGTTTCTGACAATGGAGGGATTGGAGACATCATGTGCGCTCAATGCTGCGTAAAAATTTGGTGGGACTGGGAAACGTAAATGCTGGCCTTCAGCGGTGAACACAAGCGTCGCAGTCAATTTTCGGTCTTTCAGAAATTTCACGAGAAGCTGTTGCTTCAGGTGAAGGAAGAGACATTTTGTCCGTGAAGTGAAATGTCCAAGAATACGCCCAGTAGCTTAGGATATGTGGGAGACCTCAAAAAAATTTCTGAAATCCTCCACTGTAAACAAGACCGGGCTCTCTACTACTACTTCCACTGTCGCAAGAACATGAAATCAACAATCTACACCGATTAGCCCACGAAGGCCTAGACTTCCTAGGTTACTCTTAGGCAGATAAGCAACTTCCATGATTTAAAACACTTCTATTCAAGTTCACGAAGTTTGGTGATGGAATACAGTAGCCATCCAGCTGTTGGAGAATGAGGCTATAGCGTACGATCTGCTTCTCTTAAGCCAATAACCATAACCCTTCAATGGTCAAATGTTTTGAGATTCAGGATTCACCAGTTTGAGAGATGCTGAAAATGCCAGGATTGAAAGCGGTGTCCGAAGTAAGGTCTTAGAGCGAATATATCATGCTTGTATAGTGTGCTCGTGAGCTAGATGTCTTATTCGCTACTCCCCCTCCCTTTTTTCCCTCGTAGATCTTTAAGGGTCATTGTCGTTGAGTCTACTCTACAAGAGTTCCTTGAAAGATCCCCGCGATTTGTGGCGCGGTCTACAAGTAAGTAGCTCTAATACGTCGGTTCTTCGTCCTTCCTGACGCACCTGAAGAGGGGAAAGAATGTTCGTTCTTCTCACTCTTTCTGCCTTTAGTTCTTTTCCTTTGAACCGCGAACGTCGAAGGGTTTATTCTATACAACGAGGAACTGTGTTAATTAATAAAAATTACAACATGAACACTACAACATTGTTGTAAAAGAGCAATACATACATCCAGAATTATTCCTACTGGAAAGCTTTACAATTCAGAGAAGCATTTATTTCTCCCACTTTGTACTTCTATTTCATGGAAGGATTTGGTAAATATATAATAGCAAACTGCCAGAATTCCATAATCCATACTCGACGGCTTGGCTCTTCCATAGTTAAAAACGTGATAAAATAATCGGGATTGATCCGTCTTTAATACTCGCCACGAAGTCTACTTCCATTAATAATTCCTCATTACCAGGGCCATGATCTTGGACTATTTAGTTCCTGATCAAACCAAGCCAGCCAGAGGGTGAATCGCTATGTCGCGAAAAATGACCCGGGCGGTACGACCCCCTTGTGGACTAGCTTCAGTTCCTCTGTATTGGGAAAAACTGACTTGTTGCTATGTTGTAGTTTCATTTACACCTATAAAATTTGTCGTGCATTTACAAATAGCGGACGTACCGCGCTCTATGAGGAACACAAAAGCAAGGGTGTCCATCTAATGTTGCCACTACTCCATTCATTATTGACACCTGTATGTACATACGACCCTTGCGTAGAAGATTACGCAGTGTACTGTATTGACAGTGACAGTGGCCAACATCCTCATGCTTTTCACTTCGCAACCCCATCTCTCGGCTTATCGAGAGCATACACAGAGTGATTTGTGCACCAGCCGATCTGAAGAGATGATAAGATAAACCTTCTCATGTGTAAGCAAACCCGTACAATTTGAAGCAATCCACTGCATGAGCCAGCGAAGCCCCTATCCTCCGACATTATCCAGCCTGATCTGAGTTCATGACCCACTCCCCTTCACCACGAACCGCACTAGAAACCCGTTGCGGTATGTTTGCACAGGCTTTGGATGAAGTTTTCTAATCATTCAAAAATAGTTTTTTTCTTTGCTCTACCACGATTAATCTAACTGCTAACCAATAACGGCACTCGTGTTTTTACTTCATTTTTTCACACGCCCGACTTGCCCTCGCGCTCCGGCCTACAGGAATACTTATTATGATTTGACAGCAATACAAACATATCCCAAGTGGTTATATGTGAGTAATTCCAGACACCAACACGCATCACTCTCCCTGAGATGGATCTTATTCTGAAAACCACCAGCACTCTAGCCATTCCCACGGAGAGGAGGAATGGCAGTTCTTGATACTCGAAACATGCCACCCACGTCGCGCCTCTGAAGGTCTACAAAGGAGCGGCTCGCTCACAAGTACTCCTGGAAAATAGCATGAGTTCGTTACAGTTACTAAAGTTTGGGTATATATTCTCTTACAACTGGCAAAACTCGTTGCCACTTCATCACCTTCTTCAATGCAGACTATTTTTCAAGACTCTTCTTAAACAGAGGTGCTCTGTGGGGCGAAATTTACGCAGGTATTGAGGGCATATCCCGTTACGTACAGTCGTAGCATTAAGGTTAGATGGGACGTAAGCCTTGGCGCAGGCCATCAACGATTTCATGATCACATCATGAACACCATAACCTACAGCGTTCGACTAAAACGGCTGGTGTGCGTAAAAACACGGGGCAAAGCCGATATGACTTCAGCAAGCTGTCTTGTAGGTATACGTTCGCGCAACAGAGAAAGATGGAGATGCCTCATTGTCATTGATCGTCAGCATATGCAGGCATATCGATATGTGCAAGCAAACGCGAAACTCGTGCAGTTTCCGGGACCCGGGAGGAGTCCTATTTCATGGGTTGTCTGTTGTTATGACCCGCGGTTTTCCGTCACATACGTCCCCTTCATCGCCTTGTAGCTTACATTTGAATGGCATTTCCCTCAGCTCGCTACCGCTTACCTTGCCTTGAATGTTCGGCTACTTCAGAGAGTTCTAATTCCATCGAGCAGGTATTGACCTTTTTAAGGATTACAGATGGTCGGATTGCGCTGACTGCTACGGAGTGCCATTAATGCGAACTTTTCTTTCTATCCTTCTTTATATGATCGCACATGATGCCTGTTTCTGGTTTTTTTCGATTTAGAGCTCAATACCTGCTAGAGCAGCTGTATAAAGAGTGCACACGCATCCACAGACTAGTGCACGGAAGGCCAACCTCGGCTAATACATGCTCTCTTTGATGGTGCCATACCTCCTAAAAGGTTTATTTCCAAAGCGAGTCTCAATGCGTTTGGAAACACCTACCTAGAACTCCCATTGCTATGCCAATAGTGCCCAGATTGGAGAAACTGCAGAGAGCATATGTGGCAATCATAGTTGACCGAGGCTGAAAAATCCACTCATGTCAAAACTGTAAGTCCCCATAGGACCTCCTTTGCGTACTACTTCCAATGAGCTGTTCTTAAAGGCACATTCCGTGGTCGTCAGGAGGCGGAGCTGGGTCTGTCATTGTATGCGCCCTAACTGATGCATCTCTCCTTTTGAGACATCTAAAGGATTGTCCTGGAAGTGATAGTAGGCAACAATGAGTTCCTAACCCCCCATTTGGGACTATGGGAATTGCCCTCAATACTCACCGTGATGTGTAGCGAATCGTCCGAAATCATCTCTCCCAGATGTCGATAAGCCACAAACTCGTTGACAGCGGTTTTTGTGGCAATGAGACGAGCAACAGCTAACGTTTCTCGCGTGTCTCCAGTTACTCCCATAATATATGCTACAGGAAACATCACATACTGGAGCAGGTTCTGAATGAAAAAGCTGATTTCAAATGAGAAGCAGGATAAGCGACTCAAATGCAGTACCTAACTCCATGGCCCATAGCCTATGAGGTCTCCCAGGTAGAGAAAAATACTGTCAATCAGAGCGAGAAGAGCCAGAACAGAGACGAGGTTCGCAGCGATGGCCACTACAATATGGATTCCGCTCATTGCTCCGTTCGAGATACATTCTATAGCATTGTTTTCCTCACTGAAACTTGCAATTATTAAAAGCTAAGCACCTAATATCCGACATGAGCCATATATAGACGAAGAAGGCAATAATACAGAGTAGGACAGTGTAGATCAACTATCGAAGCTGAACAAGATTAGTAAGATTTCTGGGCTCACCGGTCGATGGCTTTATAGAAGTAACAACGTGAAGGGGTAAAGCAGATGATTAGGTAAAATGTGTGTGACTATAGACTTGTTTGCTGAGGATGTGAGGGGTGCCCGGGGGAGGGCTGGGTTTGGTTTGTTGGGCAGACCCGTTTTTCACCAATTATTGTCACTTGCTCTTTCCAGCAAGTGGTGAAAACAAGTTGACGCCGCGCCAGGCCCAGCCTCACCTCCCTCTCTCTGAAACGCCTTAGCAGCCGTAGCGAGCGATATAGATCATTTAGCTTTGTATGATAATAACTCGTCTATATCAACCTCCAGTAAGGATCGATCCTAAAATCTTTACTTGACGGATTTTTGAGGTGAGGGGGTGGAGTGAAATTCAGAGAAGTAACTAGATTCCGCTTCGCTCATGACTTTGTATGGAAACTAATCATACCAAGACTTCTTCCCTTGTGATGACTTGCAAGCTGCATAATCTGCATAAGCAATAGTGGAACTATACCTGGGAGGCAGATTGAGATCGGAAACCTTCCGCGATTCACTCTCTTCGACTTCCGGGAACATTATTTTCGCGAATGCAAGTGAAGCTGGAGCTGACATCACAGAAGAAGACAGTAAGTATCTGAAGAAAATCATAAAACGGGGTCTAACAGGAGTAACGTTGATGTGAAAAACTATTTTCTATAGTAACTGTACGCCAGAGAAGCGGTAATGGTCTGCAAGGAGTGACAAATAGGCCGTCAACTCACTTTGGACAGGCTCCAAAGGAGACGTATGCAGCGAACAAAGAGCCAGCAATGCATGAAAAACCACTTGCCATTATCGCATGTAGTTCTGATGGCGTTTGCTTTTCCAAATATGGACGAACCAACAGTGCTGCCTCTGACTTGATGAAGTACTTATTACACCAGTAAAGTTATCAAATAATACCTAAGACGTGGTAGTGATGAAAAAGCCAGTACTAAATATAGTAAGATATCATTATGATGGGCACATTTTGCGACGACTTGTAGGAATACAAGCCAGTGTTTAGTGCGGGCCACAGCGGACAACCCTGTTCCAGTTTCGCGCCAGAAAAATGTGTAGGGTCGAAAGAAGATGGCTCAAGTGGCTCCAGATGAGCCCAAGTGACCTGGAAGGACCACATAATGCCTGCTTATGTCAGTTATTGTACACCTTTGCCATACAAGCTCAATCTTCCTGACCTCGCACTTAGTACTGCACTGGTCGCTGCAATCACTGTGTACAGCATTAGGCCTTTATGTGCATTCTTCCTAATCCTATGTTCTAGCAACTGAATCTCAAAAAGCGAACTGAGCGTTATAATTGATCTGATCTCACGCTTCTAACGAACTCTGAAGAACTGAGCAGTTGACTTACTTGACCAAGAAAAACGCAAGCGCAGGCATTCAGTGACTCAACAGCTGTGGTGCCAAGAGTAAGCTGCATCAAAGAAGCCATGCGTTTCAGGACCCATTGCATGATGCCGTAGTAATAGAGTAGGGAAACAACAGATCCAAAGAATACAAGTACTTGAAATGCCTGAAATGCGTTACTTGCTACATAATATGACTGCAGTTTGATGTAAGTAAACTGTAATACAACAGAATCCCACGGTAAATCCGCGGAAACAAGGAGCATTTAGTACCGAGACTGTCACGTGCTGGTGTTCATTTGTATGCCGGCCAAAAAAACGGTGTAGCGGCAGTGACGCTGTGAGCTGTGCCGCGTATGCGGCGTCCACTCCAACTACAGTTGTATACCTCACTTCGAACTCACTACAGTGATTGTACAGTTACACGATTGATGGTAATTGTGGTGAATAGGAGGTAAGCCGTACAACTGCAGTTATCCACAGAACCAACGTCTTGAAAATGCTTCTTTCATTGCCGCATGGCGTCGCTTGTCGAAGCTCCTGGCCCACACACTGCTCGTTAGAGCCTTTGGTTTCTGACTGAGAAGGTGACACTTTCTGTAACGAACCTTCACAGAATGTTATCATAAGAATGCTGAGTTATGGGCAAAAGTCGTGCCCCAGGCGGGAGTCGAACCCGCACCTCACGCTTTCCGGGCGAGTGCGCTATCCGTTACGCCACCAGGGCCGCTTTTACCCTCTCAGCCAGGGCACGCCATCGTTGTGATCATCACAAGGGGGGTCGTATTTGACCGCGATGGAGGGGGGTCGTAAGCGCGGGGACCTTTTTGATGTGAGGGTGCAGCGATACCCAGATGTCGTTCAGCTTCAATGATGAATGACTTATCCATGTGATGAGCCCTTGAAGAGACCCACACAAGACAGAAGCAACATACCAGCGCAGAAGTGGGAATTTGGGCGATGACAGAACGCAACGATGGTCGCCCACACATCAAATAATGTTCCAATCGCCTGCTCCCTATTTTGGGCTTCTATGGAGCGCAGCGCGTAGCTTGCTTGCTGACGCGCGTGTTTTGAATTTGCTAACTTTGGGCCCTTATGAGGCCCTTATTAGCTCTTATCGACTGCTATCACTTCCTGCCACCTACACCAATAGTGTTCCTGCCCGACCTCCTACATCACTTATCAGTTTGAGCGCACTATCGCTGTTTTGAAGGAAGTTATGAATTTCCGGTCAAAAACACACAAACACACCAACAGGCAAACTTAACGGATTATATATAGCAGGATAAAGTCTTCGCCGTTGGTCATCCTTTTTGGGATACGACCCTTTCCACTTCATTCAAATCGTACGCGGATTCTTGAATGCGATGTGGTCTATACTGATGAGCTTGTGGAGAGGCGTGCCAAGGGTCAGTGACAGATAGCTATGCGTGAAAAGCGTTGTGCATGGCAGATTCGCATAGGTGTATGCAATTGGGCGCCTAATGAACTGTTTCTTGATATCCTTGGCAAAAACATGCGTTTCAAAAGCATACCAAAGTTTTTAAACCAAGCGGAGGTTTTATGGCGTCGGCGGTGTTGATTTTTAGTGTCGTGGGGCAGTGGTCACGAGATGATCACAAGGGGAGATTTTTTCGAATAGCAGGCCTAACGATAAAATGAAAGTTGTGCTGGAAAGTGGAAGGCTTCATGCGTCCAGGACACAGTACTTTTTTCTCGAAAAGCCGCGTATGAAGCTTGCCATGGATGTCCAAAGCGTGGCGATTCAGGGTTGGACCCCCATGATCACAAGAGGATCACAAGAGGATCACAAAGAGGTGAGAAACTTTCTAGAAAGATGTTTTCAGAAATCGTTTGAATCCAGGTAACGAAAGACCGAACCGCTAGCTCTACTCATTCCCACTTCCCCCTCTCCGAGAGTTTTACTTTCAACGAAGTTATAGGTGTTCAAAAAAGGGGTACTTTTGAGTGTTTGGCTTGAAATTGGCTTGAGGACGAAAAATAACGCGCACCAATGAGCTTGTATTAGCGCGCCGCGTGTGGGTGACGTGTAATGCAAGAGGGACGCAGCGCATGGGCGATTGGATGCAATTACACTCCTTGCGCGCTTTTTGGCTACCGTATCCCTCACGCCTAATTTTAATGTTTTGCGAGGGTTTGTTGTTGACAGCGCGGCCAAAGAAGCAAAGGAAAACGATGCGAAACAGAACGTTTGCAATGTACAGGGGGGGGGTCGTATCAAGACCCTTATTTGGAGGGGGGGTCGTATTTTTCAGGAAATGATCACAACGCAATGGCGTGCCCTGCTCTCAGCTTAACGGCTTATGCCGTAACCTTACAGCACTCACACGTTTAACTTGGTGAGCCGGTCAGCCGTAATCGTTAGATATCGGCATGGAACCGCAAGGCCGAAGGCTTTACAAGTTTTTGAAGCTGTTTTGTTATGATAACTGCTGTTTAACGCCGCAGTACGCGTTCCGTGCTGTAAGGTTACGGCATAAGCCGTTAAGCTGAGAGGGGCCCTGGTGGCGTAACGGATAGCGCACTCGCCCGGAAAGCGTGAGGTGCGGGTTCGACTCCCGCCTGGGGCACGACTTTTGCCCACAACTCAGCATTCTTGTGATAACATTCGGAACGCGTACTGCGGCGTTAAACAGCAGTTATCATAACAAAACAGCTTCAAAAACCTTCACAGAATTGTTCAGTGGCAAGTTCCGCGCAACAAAGGGAGATGATGCAATCTTTTCATGTAAGAAACCATCTTTCAGTATCCTTACGTGTCTTTGAAGAAATGGACTAATGTTTTGCAAATTGAAATACGTACCGAGAAAACAAGAACTGGGCCCATCTGGCAAATAGGCGGCGGCTTGGACAGAAAGCCGTAGACAAATTCAGAACCTGCCAATCCGCATTTTAAGTATTCACCTCCATGCCTTATTGTGCAATGGTTTTACCGTAATTCGCCAGTTCGAGGAACTTCACAGTAGTTTCAGCAAATTGTTGAAATATCGTCGCTCCCAATGTCCATCGCAAGCATAGCATTCCAAGGCAAAAGTGGACAAATAGTCCCCACATAACAGTTCGCCAAATGATCTGTAATTAAAACACGTTTCTTGGAAATATAATCGCCTTTCAAAACATTCCGAGGCGCTGGTGATCATTAGGTAGTGCTGCATCGAAAGCACAGTCCACGCTAGCCGGGAGGATGGAGTTGATTCAACGATGTTGGTCCATTAGAGCTTCCTTTTAATTCATCTTCTTTATGGAGAGCACATCAATGAGGGCGTAGCCATGAAGATAGTCTGACTTCCCTAATATACGCAGTGGACTGTGCTTTTAAACAACATCCTTAGCTTCAACAAAATCTAGGAGTGAACGTCAGCAGGCTTATGGTAGGTTCACCTTGGAGCGATTAGCTGATATCGTCGCCAGCAGCAGTACAAAGAACGCCATCCCGACTAGGCCCACGAGTCGCGATCTGTCTGAGGCGGTGTCGATGGCCAAGAAGATTGCTAGGCACACGGCAAAAACGCAGCCAAAAATTCTGAATTTCACATTCGAACTTAGAAATACTTTTATCTTCACTATCCTTACATTCTATAAACCACTAATTCTGTGTGTCGGTTTGTCGGTATGTATGTATGTATGTATGTATGTATGTATGTCCGTCCGCAAAATGCTTCACGGGTTCAAACACGTCAGTGTAGGAGACTACTATACAATCAGCTAGCGCGGCTGGGCGAAACCAGTTGGTGCAGATGTATCAGTCCAATGTTTTGATTGTGATAACACCTGCACTATATAAGAGAAATAATGAAGTGCTTTCCAAACCATTGCACGAGCTGCTCGCGTGACAGGTGGACGTGAGCACGTGCAGCGGCCGGGATGGGGAGTGGGTGGGGCAAGTGGGAGTGGGGAGGGTATAATGTGGGTGGGTGGGATTAGTGAGGGAGAGTACGGGAGGGGAAGCATAGAGTGCGTTTAGTAGAAACTCATCAACACAAGTGTGGGCAATATAAAGCGCCAGTGAAAGCGATAGGTGAATAGAGGAAGGATCAACCGCTAGCAGAGTCGCGAATAAAATCCATGTTTTGGTATCACTTTGAGGCAATGTGTGGTTGTTTACAACCTCACTATGTAAAAGAATCATGTAGTGCACTATAAGTGAGCTACTCGTATGAACATATTGGTCAAAGATTGTTGACTATCTGTATAAAAGAAAAGCCGGTGAGGAGAAAGATAAGCGCGGCGGAGCCGGGCCCTCTCAGCAAATCCAATCTTGCAATCTTTAAGGCATCAGAGGAAGGCGTGGGCAGGCATCAAGCCGCAAAGCCGGCTGGCGTTATATATAATTATATATATATATATATATATATATATATATATATATATATATATATATATATATATATATATATATATATATATATATATATATATATATATATATATATATATATATATATATATATACGAAAAAGGAGAGAAAATAACTCCAATCCAGTAGCTGCTAGGCTGGCTTCTTATGAAAGTTGGGCTTGCTTTCGTAGCTACGCTGCTTATTTTTCACTTATTTTTTCTTTCTATCAGTAGTGGTCAAATAAAGGAACAAACAAATAAAAAAAATAAATAAGTAGATGAAGTGCCCCACTCCGGAACCGTATAGCAGTCGAATATAGGCCTCTCTTCTGGACTTTGATAGACGAGTTAATGGCCAATTCATATCTTCTTTTCCTTCAAGGCATCATGCTAGCTGCCGCTCGCTATGATGGCAGCAGAAGCAGCGTTTCCCTGTATTATACGGTCATCAGAGGACGCCCATGTCAACTGTATTTCATCAGCTGAGCTATAAAAGTATCAGCAATGACGTGGCTGATACTGATACTTTTAGAACTAGGACAAACTTGCCGTTGGAGCAAACTTTTGCCAAAGACGACTTCTCCCCTCCCGCCCCCCACCCCTCTTCCTCGTCTACCCTCCTACCTACTATCCTCCTAGATTCTCTCAACTTCCTAGCACAGCTTTGTAGAGAATCTCCGGTCCCTCTCCCAAAAAAACACAGGCGCTACATATTGTCACTCCGAGGGAGGGGGAAGGGTAGTGGGACAGAATAGCAGTAGCGCCTGTGAAAACAGAAAATCAAGCAAGGCTCACAGCGCTGAATGCATTTTTCTTAAGCAAAGACGACTCGCTCCCCTTCTTCCACCGACCATATAAGAACCCCTATGACATGCCCTATCTGAGAAGGGGGCGACCCTTATGACTAGGGGTCTTGCTATGCTTCCTTGACAGAGACTTCCGCAGAAAAGGTGGCCACATTTACTACAGGGGGGGGGGGGGGGGGGGGGGCGGGGGGGGGGGGGGGAGGGGGCGTTACCTGCTCAGGCAGGTGGTTCCCCTTTCTGCCTGTTAGTCGTTATCATTATACAAGCACATGCAATGTTTGTCGTGTCATATGCAAAAGCGTGCATCTATTTGACCAGTTTAGCAAAACAGTTTTGCTAGTTTACACACTACGCGCGCCTCACATGGTGAACCCTATGGAACTGATAACTGGCTCCGTTTTCGAGACACTACCTACAGGAGAAGAAAAAAAAACTCGGAACGAATCACAAACTTTATATTTAATGGCTATAAGGTACGCTATCAACATCAAGCAATGAGGGCGAGTAAACAGCACGAATGCAGAAGTTGGCTGAGCATCTATTTTTGGATTCTACCAATGAAGCATGGTTTATAGCTCATACTCGTGGGAAGGACTTCTGAGGATCGTCGATGGTATTCGAGCTACTAATTCTAAAATCCTCAAAATGTATTAGCACGGCAGCATTAATTTTCTATATGGATATGCCCCTAGACGTAGTGATTCAAGACTTCTTGCAGTTGCGTGATGGTTGAGGTACAAGATCTTACTCGGTCACTTTATCATCGAGATGCTTTCCGTGGGTGCGGGACCGATTCTTCACAGTTTTGTCTCTGCTTATGGAGACTTTTTACGCTTTTTGCTATTTGGTTGCAGTTCTGTCCTGGCATAGCTGGCTTACTATCTATAATTTTCTGTGCCCACTTTGAAGCAAATCAAGTACTGAGAAAAATGCCGATTTTTTGGCTTGCTCCAAGTTTTTTTTTCGCTTCAGTATCTGCCCCTGCTCCCCTTTATGAGTGATCAGTTGCCAATGTTCAAATGTCTAATGCTTATCACATTTCTGGAACCACGTAACATTGGAGTAACGGAAAGTATAGTTGTTGGAAACAATCCGATGGCAACAGTATAGAATTAATATGAAGTTTGTTTGCATTCTAGTGCTTTACAGTAGAGCGGTCGAATTGGTTTTGACTCTATTTGATCCTACATACCGTGAGCTTGCACTTTGGTATTCGAGGGACAATGGTCGCAGTCCATGGTAAGGACTACAAAGAAGCAAAGCAAACAGTGACCATTGTGAGCCTGTACCCTCGCTACGTTACAAACGGTCGTTTATTACTCTTAATATTCCCATTCCGCCCCCATATGACAGTTTATTGCGGATGCTGGGGCGGGGTTGGCCTGGCGCCAGCCCGTTCTCCTCCAGTTGTTGAACCGGGCGGGCAACAAACTGTAAGTTGCTAGAGAACGGGCCGGCACCACACCAAACTAAGCCCTCCTGGCAAGCCTTAGCATCCGCGGTGAAGAAAACTGAACCTGGTGTCCCTCTATGTCCCACTGTTGCTGCAAGCTATGAACTTCTGTTCCCCTCTTTGTGGCGAACAGCTCACGCTTTAATAATAGCCCCTAAATTTCTTACTGGTACCAGCCCTTCCATTCCAGCCCTCTTACCACCTGTTAGCGGTCGCTATCACTTTCATTTACACATGTACCCGTCACATCACCTTGATCACTCATTAGTTAGAACGCTGTGCGCATGCACTAAAAGAGCTTATGAACCCCCTGTCGAACACACACTCGCAAGCCATCGGACAAAATTAGCTGATTATATGTGGCAAGATAATTGCAAAATTCTTTACTGTATTCAGTACGATTACATTCTTAATGCTGCTATTATTGGAATTATTATTATTACAAATGCTGACAAATGTTTCGCGTCTTTCGTTGAACGTTATGCTAACTCGAATCGTGTCGAAACAACGTTCCACACATGCTCGTCGTGTGGGTGGGGCCGTTCACCAATGTGCCTTCTTCACTTGAGGACCCTTTTTTAAGACAGCGAAGAGTGTGGAATGAATGACAGGCCTGGCTCGGCTTACAGAACGAGAATGAAGTGCTTGTTCAAGCGCTCAAACTCACACCGGTGTCCAACGGGATTCCTTAGCTTCCTTGACATGGAGCCGACTAGTCAGAATAGTGCTTTTCCTCACCAACGGATCCATGTGAGAAGCAAGCAGCCGAGAAAGAGCCACGATCCAGCATGCTCCGATGAGAGCCAAAAAACTCTGGGCTTTCTCGAAATCATGGATTGACGCAAGAACTAAAACTCACGTTGTCGGCTTACGAAGATCTTATTATTAGAGGATCACCGGAATGTCTGCTCACTCACCTGCCCAAATGTGCATCAGAAGCACAAATGCGACGATAGCTAAGATCTTCAGATTCCTTTCATCTGTTACTAAGCGTTGTAACCAGGGTGCGGAGCCCTCCTCTACTTTCGATTCTGAATTATTCTTTTCAGACCACTTTTCAGTCTTAGTTTCAGTCTTAGTTGAACGGAGTTCGATTACTCACCACCGTCTCGCTTGCCTTCCTTGAGTGATGATTCCGCTGCGGCACTCTCAAAAAGTTAACAGTCACGGGTATAACAAGTGACAAACTTTTCTTGAAAAAAAGAGGGGCAATTTGGCTTGGTGGGGGAAATAGATGGCCATCAGCTGAGCTTGTATAGGCCACACTGTGGAGACCTGCAAATTCCTGTGACCGATGTGGCCCACCCGAATACTATCACAGCTTCACAGGAGCTCACAGGTCTGACCAAAGCGAGACCTGTCATTTAATATGAATTACCAAAAAAGCCAGCGAAGGTGCAAAATGCCCCCTCCAATCCAAACAATGTCAAGATAGGTTTGTCCAAATGGATTTCGTACCTCTGTATTTACAGCGATCTCGATCATCCCGCAGACGGAAAGAGGCAGAGTCAACGATCAAAAAGGCCGTTGTTTAGAATTACAAAGGTGAGTTCCACAGTGTGAACATCAGAGAGAAACGATCTCCAAATAATGGTGTCATAGCCGCGAACGCGACGGTAAGGCTCGACTGCTGTTTCGCCGTTCTATCACACTGTATTAGTCAATAATGTTTAATCGACCAGTTCCAATTCCTCTTACCGACTTAAAGCCACGTAGTTTTTATCAGTCGGCTAATTTAATACTTTACCATCAATCAGTTATACACCTGTTAGCGAGTAATTGTTATAGAACATCGTGACTATTGATACTCCATGCACATATCACCATGCTCCACCTTTGCGAGATGGCATAACAGTTTTCCGTTCAAATTATCAACGTTACTCAATGACCATTCAAAATCCGCGTTCCTCATAATTCGTTGCACTGGTTTCTATCGACAGGATCGGGCGCTCTAACTGATCCCAGAATGTATCTCATATTGCATTGAATAAAACCCAGAAGAAGTGGCCTTCACGGCAGCAAACACACTTAAGATATCACCATTTTGCCATAAATCAAAGAGGACAATGTCTTCCCCGTTGGGATCCGTTTGAAAAGAGGTTCGCATTCTACTCCGTTCAGTAGAGAAGTGCCTCATTGAATTCGACAGCCATACAATGACTTCGCGATGGAATCGATGACACTCTCAAGGTTTTTTATCCACTCAGGCAGATTCTGCACTACTAAAATACATTCTCATTGTGGGCAAGTATGGGCAGCGCCAGGGCTACCAATATGACTTTTTCATTGTCGCAAACTTAATCGTTACTGTACGGAATGGAGGGCTCCTTTGTTGAGAAAGGCAACCTAGTGGGCAGGCTTGGGCCTCACGAAGAGCGTGGAATGTACTTGAAAACGACGCGAAACTCGCTTAACACGAAAGTGCTGAGGTATGAGCAAAACTCATCGGGCATTCCAGTCAGTTGGGGAATTTACTAGTTCTCATATTTTTGGATCGAGCCCTTTTTCACAGCAATTCAGAAGCACTGCTCGCAAGTTTGCGGATCACTACAATAGAATCGTCTCGTATGTTGAGCAGGAGGCGGAAAAATGACAAGTGTTCATTGGCATACAACAGAAGCCTTTGATATGTCTATAAAACACATTACCACTTTGACCGTTAAATCATTTGCCTTCATGTTCATAACAAGTGTTGGCTTTCTGGGAAAGAATCCCTAAATCTTCCACATCCATTTGCCCTGCAAACAAGAGGGCGGGTGAGGGGGTGGAGTGGAATGCAGCCAGGGCTGCCTTTCTCACCAACTGATACTGCCCTGTCCGCAACAAATGGTGCGGAAGGCTGCCTTGGGTGCAATCCAGTGCATGCCCTCATAAGCCTCTTGTTCGCAGTGATAATGGCTGTATGTTTTGTGAAACGGCTGGCCAAATATTTATGGCGGAGTATTCTTCTTATGAATCTAATTCGAGGGAAAGAACTGAAGATGAAGCTCTGGCTAGTGTCTTATACTCTTGAAAGGAGGGATGTCAAATGATATGTAGGGTTCTGGACAGGCATACGTACAAACAAACAAAAATAAAGACGTAGTAGACTGTTATATGTATACAGGAGGGCTAAAAAAGTAAACTTTTCTTCCTTGACTTTGAGGCGATATAAGTTACACTTTATCAAATTCTGATTGGACATTTCCACCACCATATTCAACAGCACATTGTACACTATCACGATACTCCGCCACAGCCTTCTGGACGAGCGCCATTGAGAGATTCTGCCACTGAGAGACTCGACCGTGATTCGGTGCTTGAGTTCAGCGAGGTCGTTGATTCCTCCGCCACTGTAGACCACCCTGTTCAGCCCCTCCCCAGCCCGGTAGTCGAGGAGGTTTAAAGCAGGTGGCACACTTGCATATCCCGTCTTTTCCAGGTACTCAACGCCCTTCGATTCCAAGTAGGCGAGAGTTTTTCCAACGCCCTTCGATTCCATGTGCTGGCACCCAATCCTGTAGCAGTACGAAGTTTCCAAGATGGTACAGGCGACATGAAGGCAGGATATTCTCCTCGAGTTGGTCGATGTAACCGTCAGCGTTCACTTTCAGTCCGGGGTCCACGAAGAAAATATCGGTCTTCCCATTCCAGGAACTTCCGGTCCATACCATCAACCCGCGCCTTGGCGACTGCGGTGAAGATGATATCCTGGACCGTAGCGACGTTGTCGGAGCTGCTCGATGTTGGAGGTCTCCCAGATCGAAGAGTGCCGGTCTCCAGGTAGCTCCATGGGTGACTCGATACAAGAAGTTTCGCAGCTGTTTGGAGGTGACATGAATTCCAAAGGTCTTCTCCAGTCAGGCTGCGACTGGAGATGACTTCATATTTTGGTGTACATGAAGGTGATGGGCGAGAGCCTCCTGCTTATCGAGGAACATCTTGGGTATCTTCCGCCCTGGTACTCGTATCCACGTCCTCTGTCTGGGCTGCGAAAACTTTGCTGATATGTGACTCGGCCAAAGTGTCTTTTTTCCCCTCCCCTATACGGTAAGGAATTATTGCGTGGTGCAGGCTCCCCACGTGAAGAACACGATGGCAGTGGAAATTCATCTCATCTACTCTGTTACCACATAAGCAATCAGAGACGT